AAGGATAGGAAGGAGGAGGGGGAAATGAAAAAGAAACTAGATCATAATAGTCTTAAAAAATAAAACAAAATATATATATTATAGACAAAAAAGTGATAAGAGCAATTCAAGAAAGTATTTCTTTCAAAATATTTTTACACAAAGCTGGTGATAAAACACTTAGACAGAGGGAGTCTAGATGGATATATGAACTTAAAACCCTCCAACCCTTGGGTCTGAATGAGGGCTTTTCTTTTGCCCCCTTCATATAAATATATGACTTATTGGGCTATATATATCCCTCTTATCCTCCCATCCTGTTCTCATTATCACCAGCTTTGTGTAAAAATATTTTGAAAGAAATACTTTCTTGAATTGCTTTTTTAAAGGAAATTCTTTACTCTTATCACTTTTTTGTCTATAATATATATATTTTGTTTTATTTTTTAAGACTATTATGATCTAGTTTCTTTTTCATTTCCCCCTCCTCCTTCCTATCCTTATGAATCTCCTGTATGTGTAGGGATATTCTTCCTCCAATAGACATATGAATGCTATGGAGGTTCTGTATCTAAATACACAGGTTTGATCAGATGATTATAATGTGTTCCCTTTTTTTGTTACCTTCATATAAGGGCATTTAGCCTATATTAGGATCTATTGGGAACCTTCTGTGACAGCCTGCTCATTTATGTGTGCGTAGTATGTGGGGAGTTTGCGGTTCACTTTTGTGCGCTGCTTCACCACTGATATTTTGACATGCGCACTTCTGACTATGAGAGAGTCTCTCCCCTTTTTTCTAAGTTTGGTGCGCATGCGCGGACACTCTGGCGGGACATGCGCATTGATTAATCCCGGCAAGCAAGGAGATTGGACGTTGCCAGCTGATTACTACCTTATGGGCGGTCAGTAACGGCTATATAGATGGGAGAAGGGGGGGGGGGGGAACTATTTTGATACATTATATTTTGCTCTTGAGAAAGGCGGTTTACCCGCCGAAACGCGCGTTGGGCTTGTTTTTTCCGATGTATTCTTAACACTTGTTATACCTTAGTGTACTCTTATGATATAGTGACTTTGGGGTTGATCGGTTTTACATACCGGGACGACTAACTAGTAGGGATTTACTGTGAGGTGGATTTATTTAGTTTTGTCTGTTCTATTTAGGCTTACTTTATATTTATATCTATATCCATCTCCACTTTTTATATCCCTCTCTGCTTATAATATCTTCCCTATCCTTTCGATTTCCAATGCAAGTCTACTAAATTGCACTTTCTGACTTTCTGCAGGTTTCATGTATACAATCATACTCAGCACTAACTCTTTTTGAGTTTAGACTATTATATGGGATAGTGCTTTGACCACTTCCACTTATACTGGAACCTTGCAGTTTATAGACAGTATTGTGTTATATCTGTGAGTCCTTAGGTAATTTGATTTATTTGTTTTTGTTTGAATATACCTTTT